TTGGTACCATCGTTTAGGAGTCTGTTTTAATCCATACAAGAATTTAACAAGTTTACACATTTTATATTTTTGGTTAGGAGAAACAAACCCTTCAGGTTGCTCTATGTAAATCTCCTTTTCTAACTCACCGTTTAGGAATGTTGTTTTTACATCCATTTGATGAATCTCAAGATTTTGTATTGCCGCAATTACAATTAACAACCTTATCGATGTGATTCTAGTCACGGGTGAATAGGTATCAAAGAAGTCAAGTCCTTCTTTTTGCCTATATCCTTTAGCAACCAATCTAGCCTTATATTTATCAATGAATTTGTCTAATTTCAATTTCTTTTTTAATATCCATTTGCATTTTAAAGGCTTGCTACCGGGAGGTAAATCAACCAACTCTTATGTATAGTTTTGCATTATAGAATCTATCTCATTATTAATAGTTTCTTTCCAATGCGGTGCTTCCAGTGTACACATTGCTTCATCAAAAATTTTTAGATCATCCTCTACCATTTATATTAGAAAATCTGGGCCAAACGTCTTGGAAGTCCTAGCCCTTTTACTACGCCTTGATTCTTCCTCATTTGAAGTTCCATTGGAGGTTTCATATGTTCTCTTGTTAGAACTCGTATTTTCCTTATCTTTTTAAGGAAAAATATTTTCAAAGAATGTCGCATTTCTTGATTCAATTATGGTCCCTTCGTGTACGTCTTGTATTTCGAATTTGTGTACAAGAAATCGATATGCACTACTATTATTGGTGTATCCAATAAATATGCAATCTATCGTTTTAAGACCAATTTTCACTTGTTTAGGCTCAGGTACCTCAACCTTAGCCAAACACCCCCACACTTTCAAGTATTGATAGGATGGAGGATGGCTTTTCCATAGTTCATATGATGTCTCTTTCATTTTCGTAAGAGGTATTTTATTAAGAAAACTATTTTCCATTAAAATAGCCTCCCCCACATGTTCTGTGGTAAACCCAAACCTATTATCATGGCATTCATCATTTCTTTAAGTGTTCGATTTTTGCGTTTTGCAACACTATTCTTTTTTAGGAGAGTAAGGTGTCATTGTTTGATGAACAATTTCATGTTCAGAACAAAAGTCTTCAAACGGTGCCCCATATTCACCTTTTCTATCCTACAAATATTCTTTATTCGTTTTTCAAGTTGTATTTCAACTTCAGTATTATAGGTTTTGAATACATCTAAGGCTTTGTCTTTACTTCTCAAAAGAAAGACATAGCAAAACTTTGTACAATTATCAATAAATGTCACAAAGTATTTCTTACCACTTCGAGTTTGTACAAATTCTAGATCGCATATATCGCTATGGATCAATTCAAGAGGGGTTGTGTTCCTTTGTATTGAATGGAACGGTGTTTTAGCCAATTTTGCTTCAATACATATTGCACATTTATGATTAGGATTGATTTTATGTGCCGGAATTAAACTTTGAGTCATTAGTTTGTGCAACGGTTTGTAATTCACAGGTCATAATCACAAATATAAAGGCTCAAGCAAGTAAACGGAATTTATAGTTTTAATCATAACGATTTGCTTCGATACAATTGTAAGAACATTCACCTTGAACATTCCATCACACATGTATCATTTCCCTATATACATCTCATTCTTAGACAACACAAATTTATCGGATACAAATACAAATTTAAAATCATTCTTACTAAGTAGAGATCTGGACACTAAATTCTTTCGTATTTCTGGCACATGTAGTACATTGTTGAGGACGAGTTCTTTCCCGAATGTCATATTCAAAGTGACTCTGCCTTGTCCTTCAAGTTTAGAACTTGCAGAGTTTCCCAGGTATAGTTGTTCTCCATTAAATTCTTGATAGTTGGAGAATATCGCATTGTTCGCACACACATGGCGGGTAGTGCTGGTATCAATCCACCATTCTTTAGTATTTCCAATCATGTTGCATTCGAACACTACTGCAGATAAACTCATTTCTTGCAGTCCGTTGGATAGAGTGTCATTTGCAACCTTGTGGGTTTGAGCATTCTTCTTGACTTTTGACATTCACTTGAATGATGTCCAGCCTTGTCATAGTTGTAACAATTCTCTTTGAACTTCTTAGCCTTTTTGAAATTGTCTCTTTGCGGTGCATAATTAGGAGCCTTTCGTTTCTTGTTTGTTGCCTTTAGTTCCATTTCAACAAAGCTTGCACCATCTTGATCAACCGACCTTCGTTCGATTTTTTGGTTGTCCTCTTCAATCCTCAAGGGCACAATTAATTCTTCTAAATTCATTTCCTTGCGTTTGTACTTGAGGTAATTTTTGAAATCTCTCCACATGGGAGGGAGTTCTCAATAATGGCAGCCACTTAGAACATTTTCTGGGCATGGATGTTGTGCAATAAGACTTGAATCTCTTGCACTTAGCTAATCACGGTTTTAGAATCCACCATCTTGTAGTCCAAAGATTTGCCGACAATGAACTTTTTTGTTCCGGCATCCTCGGTCTTGTATTTTGTCTCCAAAGAATCTCATAGTTCCTTGGCTGATTCCTTTGAACTATACACCTATATAGTGTATTATCCAATCCATTTAAGATATAGTTCTTGCATAGGAAGTCCGAGTGTTTCCATGCATCCAAAGCAATAATCGATTCACGATTATTTTCCCCTTCTTTTACAGCCGGTGCAGTTTCGTTTAGAAACTTAGTCAAATTAAGAGTAATGAGATAAAACAACATCTTTTGTTGCCACCTCTTGAAGTTCACTCTTGCAAAATTTTTCGACTTTTCTTCATGTGGGATAGTAGTATTATGTAACGGTACGGTCACGACGGTACCACATTATTGGAACCATTTTGACTTGATGAAGTCCCGATGGTAGTCATTTCTGTTACAAAAATAGAAGTTCAACAAAATGATGATAATATCGGTGGAGGAATAGTATACAAAGCACTATTCAAACAAAGTAATTGTTGTCTACAACCAACTTCAAAGACACAAAACTTTGTCTTAAGTTTGTTGGACACGACTTAGAGAAATGGGCTATGTAAGGGTTAGTTTTGGAAATTTGGATAGAATTTCGGTATATATAATGTGGTAAACTATTAGCAAAATAAGGATTAAGAAGGAGTAGAAATAGAGAATAATCCAAGACGAGACGTTATCTCTTTCCTTAAGACAAATTGCCCCATTACGGTGTTCACGGTGAATGACACTTGTTTTCCAAGATACAACAGATTCACAACTTATGGTAGCAGCACTTCAAACCAGAAGAAACCGACGAATTTTTGATAGAATTTTCCCTCTACAAAGGAAATACGTGAAAATGCAATGAAATTAGAAATGAGAGAGTTGCAAGAGAAGAATGAATGCTCAATGCAATTAATGTACCCAAAACCATGTTCATATGATCCTATTTATAGATGTAGAAAGGGTGCATATGAAGTAGTATGAGTCAAAACATGCATTTTTTTGAAAAGTTGCAACACTTGACTAAAACCTGCATCCTTTTGAAAAATTACAACACTTCATTTCTTCCAACTTAGGTCCGCAGTTTCTCACTCATCCGGAATTGGTTTTAAGATTCCAAATATACCACGACGATCAACTCAACGAGTAGAATAAGTTGGTCTATTTACTTTTATAATTTGACCATCGGATCGATTGACACGTAGTCACACCTTTTCATTTTTCACTTTTACACACCTTTTTATTTTCCAATTTTTGGTTAATTATTTGAACCAATTCCTACATTCTCTGACAAGAGAGAATATAGATTTGAAAACCACACAAGGATAATTGACGGTTTTCCGTAGTTCTAATTTTCCAGCAAACTAATATGAATAATTTGAATACATTATTTTTATGGCTTTAATTTATAATCTTTGTTGTTTTGGTACAACAATGAACATGAAAAATAATTGGCTTTACTTGGACATTCTTGGAGTTTTTGAAAATAACTGTTTGACATATCAAGAAAGGTGAAATTTTTTTCGTGTAATTATATTCATACAACATGTTTTGTTAAATGCACCATATTTTAATTCCAATGGAGGTTCTAAATTTTCATTGAATTTTTATATTTAAATTTTATTTAGTTATTACATATTGTCTTTGATTAAGTTTTCGATCCAAATAATCTATTATCGTAGAACAAATATTTTATTTGAACTTTTGTATTTGTTGTTTATCTTGCTTATTTAAAATATGAAAAAAGAAGAAGTCTTTTTACCAAATCTTAACATATTTTTTATAACCCATCAAGGATAAGATTTACTAATTAATTAAGGCTTGATAATGGAAGTTAGATTAAAAAAAAAAAGTTGGGGACTTAAGTACAAAAATGAAATTGGTGGTTATATTAATTCTATCATTGCGGATTTGTATTGGAATTTATGCACCAAGGTTTATGTAGGGACGAGAAATGTAAGCTTATCACCCTTAGGGAAGGACTTCATTTCGCAAAGACCCAATCGTTAATGATTGTATTGAAAGTAATGCACTGATATTATGCATGGAAGATAAATGTATGTTCTCTGACATCCAATGGTTCCCATCTATTAAGGTAACGGTGCTTTAGTTTAGGAGGTTGGATACGATTTTTGTCTCTTTATTGGGAGTTCTGTCTGGTTCATAAGGTTGCACTGTTATCTGGTGACTTGTGGTAGATTAATGCATTATATTTATTTATTTTGATCCTGGTTTGTGACGATTTATCATAAATGAAATTTAACCCCCTTCTTTTTTGGGTAAAAAAAGCCTACTTCGTGCAAATTATGAAAAATGAAAAGTGGAAGCCTATTCGGTTGTAATTATGATAATTGATTTGTTGACCGTTACAGAAAAATGGATTTCGTCAAATCAAAAATGATGATTAAAATAGTGAAATAATGATAAAAATTGATTTTTTTTGAAAATAAAAAAATTGCTACGAAGCCAAATGGGCAAACGAGTCCATTCCGGCAACATTTTGTTGTGCCCATTTCTAGTAGAGAGAGAAAAGATCCTAATAAGCTCCAAATATATAATTATATTATTTTTATATATAAAAGGACAAGGTAAGAAATCGGGGAAGAAGATGAGGGTTTCGAAAATTGTGTGAATCTTCACAGTAGAGTTAATATTTAATTTCTGAATGCCTTCCAATTCCGGTCAAGCCCCTCTCTTTTGATCTGTATTAATATATCTACAAACTAGTAATTGGCAAATAGAGGTATATCCATTTAATTGTTGAAGAATATCAGAAGAAGAATTAAGGGAAATGGATTTGGATAATTGGATAGCGAACGTTAAAGAGGGTCAGCACTTGTCTGAAGATGAGCTTCAACTCCTCTGCGAATATGTATGCCCTCCTTCTTCAGACTCTATTTTTGCATTTCTTTCTTACTCTGTATGTAAATACATTCAAGCAATCAATAATTTGATTCCGTTATTTGGCAGTTAGATTTTTGTATTCTGGTCACTTGTTTTATGGATTTTACAAGAGGGGTCTTGAGGTTTGAATTTTTTGGGAGTATTTGTGAAGCTGCACTTCTGTGAGCTCTTTAAGGATCATGTGTAATTACAGGCACATTGTATTATCTTTAATTCTTCTGTTTTTGAAATTTTATTACATTCATTAGTTTGAATATGTAACTATTGATATAATATCAGCGCATTCTTGTATTACTGGTCTGAATTGCAGTGGTTGAGGACAAAATATTTATTAATTGCATTTGAGTATCCAGAATACAGAAACTGCAGAATAAATAGACTAGTATATGCTTCCAAACCATAAGATTCTTTCCTTTAGTATAATTTTTCCAATATATATTGGTAAGAGTCAAATCTATGATTGAAACTGGATTGTTGGCATCCCATATTGGTATAGCTTTATTTCATTATGCCTAGCGAAATTTTGTCTGTTGGTAATTTGGTGCTTTTCTTGTCCCACGGGGTGTTTCAAGGAAAGAAGTAATCAACAAATTTCAACAATAGGTCATCTTTTTGCTTGCAATGAAAAGGAAAAGGGACTTCTTTACGTGCTTGTTCTCTTCATGATCTATTTTGTGACATTCCATATCTATATAATACTCTTATTATTTAGGGATTTTGGCACTTTTCATCACAAGCTAAAACCCTAAGTTTTTGGGGACTGAAGGGATATTTTTGTTTTCTTTTTATAATTCTTACTATTTTGTAGTATTTTACGTATCACAACAATTAGGAACCAAGACTCGGAATTTTTGACGAGCAGGAATTTTTTATTGAAATCATTTCGGCTGTGATGTTGAGAAGTTTATCACGCATCTTCAGTGAACTCTTTCCATCTTTGTGTTCCACCATTTTGACATTTGTGATTGCTATTTCCACTAAATTGGAGTTAATTAGATGTAAAAATTCGAGAAAATTGAATTAATTAATTAATTGAAGTGAGCATATCCTTTGTATCGGTGTGAGAAGATGTATTGATCGTGCTTTCAGAAATGGTGGAGGATTCATCCTTTGTACCAACGGTGGGGTCAATAATGATTTGTGTGGTGAGGGTAGTGTTGGGCTAAGAAGTATCAATACTTGTAAACTAGTTACGCTCGTATCCGATATGTATACAAGATTCGATAATCTTTGATACCCTCCAATATGCACTGGATACTTGTTTTTTAATTATTTTATATATTTTTAAAATTTTTGATATGTATCCAATTCGTATTTTTTAATTATTTTATATTTTTATTTGATTTTTGATACGTATTCGATATGTATTTTTTAAATTTATTTCAATAACCTATTGAATATCAATAATATATATTGAGAATACGCAATTAGAGTTTTGAACTTGGCAACTAGAATTTTTAATGAAAACGCACAATATCATATCATTTTCAATACATGTGAAACCGTGTTATGGTCGACAAATATATTTTTATTATTGAAAGTAGATAGTGACTAGTATTGAATAATACATGTAAAATTGTGTTACATTAAATTCTAATATTGAAAATAGATAATGATTTAATATATGTAAAACGGTGCTAATAAAGTGCTTTAATATTTCATTTTATTTTTATTATCATGCTTTTGTATTAGTTTTTTTATTTTTTTATTTTATTTTTTTTAATTTTTATATTAATGAAATTATGTTGAATTTTATAAAACATAACAGCGTATCTATTTTTTTTTTTTTTTCCAAAATGGTGTATCCATATTGTATCATATCCGAATTACGTATCCATATCCATCCTTCTTAGGTGGTGGGGGCAATTGTTGGCTGGCTGGTGGTTTGGGTGGGGGTGGATTTGGTTGGGGAATGGGAGTGATTGGAGAACAAAACTTATTATTATTATTATTATTATTTTGAAAAGATTTAGGACTCTTGCTGCAATTTTCCTTTTATTTTTTATTTAGTTTCTTTCTCTCTCTCTTCTTTTTTTTTTTTTTTTTTTTTTTCAAAGAGGGGGGGGGGCAAATTCATCATTTTTCATGGCTTTGTTTGCTTTCTTGTGCTATGCTATCCCTTATGTTCTTCTAATTTTAATTTTCAACTTTTGTATTCAGGTTAAGGAGATATTGATTGAGGAGTCAAATGTTCAGCCTGTAAATTGTCCTGTGACAATATGTGGGGACATCCACGGACAGTTCCATGATTTGATGAAACTCTTTCAGACTGGAGGTCATGTACCGGAGACAAATTACATTTTTATGGTAAATCTTGTATAAATATGTTCACCTGTGTATTTTAACTTCCTTTTTATACTTGTTCCATCTTTGGACTCTTTTAGCTACATTATGAAACTTATTCTATCTTGGCAGGGAGATTTTGTTGACCGTGGTTACAATAGCCTAGAAGTTTTCACAATTCTTTTGCTTCTCAAAGCAAGGTGCATGACATGTCTAATTATGTTCTATATTTGAATCTTTTTAAATTTAGGGTCCGTTTGATTGCAAAGATGGAATTTGGGTGGAAAGAAGATGAATTTTAGGGAATTGAATTGTCTAGAAATTGTTTTACTGGGAATTGACAATTATTGTGTTTGATTGGTATAATTTTACACGTGGAAAATGTTGAAATAAAAGTATTTTTTAGTGTTCGTTTAGTTTTGTTTTACATGAAAATTGTCAATTAAAAGGATAGAATTTATTGTATTGGGGATAGAATTTGTTTCTATTACCACAAAAAAAAAAAAAAGGGAAGAGAAAATCATCTATCTTTTAGTGTTCGTTTGGCTTCGTTTTATATGAAAATTGTCAATTAAAGAAAAATATTTTTTTTACAATTAGGGATAGAATTTGTTTCCATTGTCAGAAAAAAATGTAGCCTAGAAAACCAATAAAATCCCCCCTTTCCAAGAAAACCAAGAAAACGAATTCCATGGAAAAAAATGCAATCAAACACCAAAAAAGTTGGAAATGGAACTCATTTTCCATGGAATTCAAGCCCTATCAAACAGGGCCTTATTTATTTGTCGATTATTTCATTCGATTGCTTCAGCGAATATTCTCAGCCATATGCTTTTCTGATTAAATTTGCGATCATGTTGAAGCAAGGTTTAGAATGAATGTTCTTGCTGTTCTAGTTCATTATAATTGTTTTATGAATACATATCTGAGCTCAAGCTGCATTATTGTCTGTTTACTGTCTTCATTAAAAATATTCAGCCTTAATTTAATAAATGATATGGATAACATGTCTGATTAGTACTATTTTTGCAAGCTCTGTACATTGAACAATCGATTTGTTAGGGGGAAAATTCAGATATATGCTCCAATATAATATGAGATTCTCTGTAGTTGATATATTCTCATTTGACTAATAATATATATTTCATTGGTGTTTTGCCACAGATACCCAGCTAATATTACTCTCCTACGTGGAAATCATGAAAGCAGGCAATTGACTCAGGTAATCAATATTTTAACTTCATTCGTTGTGCTTTCAAGGTCAATATAATTATATGGAATCGGTAAATAAGCTCAAAAGTGGAACTGCAAGTACACATGATAATAAATTTTTCAATTATTATTTGGATCATTCAGACAATATAAGAAACAGCAAAATTTTTTAAGGAAAGGAACGAGTTGTAGATGAGCAAGGGAAACGTTTTCATCCTTTTGAGTTTCCAGGGATGAGAAGTCCAAGGATTTCTTTTCTCATTAATCGTTGGAACTGAGTGTTTTATTCTTGATTTCTCTTTCCTCTTTCGTAGTCAGAGTATATCATGTCCTCTCACACTTAAATGATAAATGAATGATTGTTTCTCATAAAAGAATTTAATTGGCGTTTGTTATTTTTAAATAATGAACACTCTTGATTAACTGCATCATCTAGACCATGGCTTCGAGGGGCGATTGGCGAGACAAGAACGTACTCTATATTCAGTTATGCCTTGATTATTAGTATCTTGCCTTAAAGTTCTCTTTGGACAGAAACAACTGGGGGTGCATATTGTGCCCTTGGAAACGAACATGCAATGTACTAGAATAGTATTTTTGTTTACTGCTAAGTTCTGATGAGCTTTTTCATGTAATCATCCTCGTTAGGTCTATGGATTTTATGATGAATGTCAAAGGAAGTATGGAAATGCAAATGCTTGGCGGTATTGCACAGATGTTTTTGACTATCTAACTCTTTCAGCAATTATTGATGGAACGGTATGCCATCTTTCTTTTTTGGTCTCTTTTTTTACCTATCATTTAAAGAGGGTAGCTGCAAAAAACCCCCACCTCTCTAAAGGTGTAAACTAGTAATTTGGTTTTTATTCCAGATGTTAATCCATATATTTAGGATCCTTTAAATTATATAATGCAGAGAAAGAAAAAGAACTTAGCTGAAATAAAAAAGCCTCTTCCAGTTGTTATATTATTATTTCCCATTTTCTATACTAGCATTACTAATGTATTGCCTCTTCGGACTAACAGGTACTTTGTGTGCACGGCGGGTTATCCCCAGATGTTAGAACTATCGATCAGGTTTGATTATTTTCTTTTTGAAATATAATATACATTTACCATGAGAATTTTGAAGTTGATAAAAAGATGAATTAAGGTTCAGTGGGATGATTGCTAATTGCTCAGCTATGCTCAACCAGAACATGCTTTTCCTAAAAGAAGTACTGAGCATGTTGCATATATGTTATATTTGGTCATTTAAGCATATAATTAATATGGAGGAGTGGCTTTGTTTTAGGAACAGCATATTTTTAATTTCTTACTAATAGTGATGAACTTTTAATGTTTGGACGTGACAAATGTTAATCTATTGTGCTTGGTTTAGTACGCCATTTCGTTTACACGATCCAGTCCATATCGGATTAAGTTCATGTTTGGTCCCCATTTTCTGAAACTCATTTCTCGTCAACGTCATTTTCAATCACACATTTAATGGGACTTACAACTTTTATCAACTTTTCAACCATCAAAATCTACTAAAAATCTGATTTTTATCTAAACCAAATAGGGGCTAAATTATATTCATTGAGTCCTGTGCATACTAGATTAAATTATGCCCCTTTTTTGGTATGGATTAAAATTAGATTGATGGTAGATTTTGATAAAAATTGATGAAATGTGTGGTTGAAAAGTTGTGGGTTCTATGCAATATTTGGTTAAAATTTACTTAGACTTTTTTATCAGATTTTATATATACCAAACAGGGGATATTAATTTCTCTGTCCTTGTTTCCTTCCAGATTCGAGTTATTGATCGGAACTGTGAAATCCCCCATGAAGGGCCTTTCTGTGACCTAATGTGGAGTGATCCTGAAGATATTGAGACATGGGCTGTGAGTCCTAGAGGAGCAGGCTGGCTTTTTGGGTCCAGGGTTACTTCTGAGGTAAGTCCATGACTCGTGAGAAAGCTTGGTAGCAAATGGTGCAGCAGACGTTCATTCTCATGGGTGTGAACTGCCCGCTTTAGCTAAAAGAACATCCAAGAGAATCCAGATGATGATTTATGACATCTCAAAAGTTCGAGATAGTTGTGTTGGTTCAAACATAATAAGTAATGCTAAAACTCGTAGTTGTTTTTTGCAGTTCAATCACATTAACAAACTTGATCTAGTTTGCCGAGCCCACCAACTTGTACAAGAAGGTCTGAAGTACATGTTTCAAGATAAAGGACTTGTAACTGTGAGTTGCCATTTCTATATCTGAGCGACAACAGCGTATTTTATGGTGTAATTTTTTCATGTATTCTTTGATAATCTCATTGCTCATTTGTATATGCAGGTGTGGTCTGCTCCAAACTATTGTTACCGTTGCGGAAATGTTGCCTCGATATTAAGCTTCAATGAGAATATGGTAGTACTGCTCAGTTTTCCATATGTTAATACTCAATTTTAGTTTCTTCATGTACGTGTGCATTCTCTAGCAAGCCGTGTAAAGAAACCATAAACTGCACAATTGAGGTTATGGTTGTTGTGTGACATCAAGGGTCTTTCTATCTTTAATAAGCAATGTTGTTCTTGCTTCTTACTGTTTTCCGTTCACGTGTTTGATAGAGGAAGCTATTTGAATCGTAAATGATAACTTGGTTGTAAGTAAGAATTGAGCTGCAGTGTATTGGGTAAACGGTTGCATTTTATCCCTCTCGTCGAATATACTTTTAACCTAAAAAACACATCTTGCCTTTGTATAGGAGAGAGAGGTGAAGTTCTTCACAGAGACCGAGGAGAACAACCAGATGCGAGGACCCAGGACTGGAGTACCCTATTTTCTATGATTGAAACTTGATTCCACTTACATTTCAGATATAACTTTGGCACCCAGTACTACGAACTGCATTTGGTGTAGAGGCTAAGGAAGAATGAGTGGAGAAACGTTCACTAGATTCTAACATGTCAGGTATTGTTGCCTGCTACCTATACATAGTTCTTGCTGTGCATCGAATATGGCTTTATTTTGTGTTTTCAGTTCGATTTTTTATAGTATAGTTCAATGATACACTAATCGTATTGATTGATTATAAACGTTTCTATTTGTTTTTTTTTCCCTCCCAGTGCTGAAGTATAAATTATGTAAACCTTGGTGAATATTACTACAGATGGTTCTGATGTTCAGTTGCTCACATTGGTTAACACCCATGCTTGCTTGTGATAATAGTTTTGTTAGCCGTATCAGTGAAAGGTTTAACACTTCTACTGTAATTTTGAGGATGAATTAATTAACTTAAGGAAGATTTTGAAGATGGAGACTGTGCCACGCTGGAGGAATATGAAACGAAGTTCAGAAAACACAGTTTAAATTAGAACCTCTGCCTTCCTCTGTAGGTTTGGAGTTCGAGTCTTTTGAGGAAGCTTATGAGGGATTGAGTGCATTTTTTGATGGTTATGTACACAAACACATATCTTTTAAGGATTTTTTTGATAATATGATCTAGCTCTTCGAAGAAAGCACTTGAAGTAATGGGAGATTTTTGAATCCAGAAACTCATGCTTTGAGTTAAAAACAAAATTAAATTTTGAAGTTGAGGGGATGTATTCTTGCTTTAACACAAGGAAAGTGAATGCTAATGGACCAACACAGACATTTGTTGTTAAGAATTGAGGTTGAGGGAAACGAGGAGGTGATTAGGCATTATGAGGTTCCGTATGAGACGACAAAAATGGAAATACGTTGCATTTGTAGTTTGTTCAATTTGAAAGGTTATTTATGCGGCATGCGTTGAATGTCTTCAATTTAAATGGTGTAGAAGAGATCCCTGCACGATACATTCTGCCACAGTGGAGTAAAGTCTAGACTCCTATTTGGTTTGAATTAAAATCCAATTAAAATTTCAAATCAAAGTTAACAATTAATTTTATTTACACATTTCATGAGACCGACAATTTTTTAACCACACATTTCATCAACTTCTATTAGGATCTACTAAAAGTCCGATTTTAATCTCAACCAAGTGCAGTTTCCACATAGGTAATGGACTCAGCATTATGTGTGGACGGTCCAGTTCAACTATATAATAATTTGTGTAGGCATGCATTCAAGTTGTTGAGAGAGGGGCACGGTCTCTAGAAAATCAAGCTGTAATGCAAGCTTTGGATGGGTTGTTGACTAAATGAAAGTTTTATGTGATTTTATCCAGCAATTAAAGCATATATTTGGTATGTGTTCATGAATAGGTGCGTTTATAAACATATAGAAATGAGTGATGGAAGTGGGTTGAATTTGTGGATCCTACAAAATATGTCGGTAAAGTTATTGGGGTACTTTTTAAATTGGCGGAGTCAAAGTGTTGGTTTTGCACTTTGACCATTTTTTTTTTCATTCACCACATTGGCCTCTTGAGTTGAAAAAGACAGTTTTGCCTTATTATGTTCCATAATTCCATAATACCCTTAAAAGTTTAAATAAATTCAATTACTTTCCCACGTAAATTTCAAAATTAATTTTGCTTATCAGTTTGTCTAATACAGTTAAAAAGAAATTTCCTTTTCCGTCTGTTTGAACATTGAAATATCACAAAATTATCAAAGGTTCAACAAAAAAAATTACTCACAACCAGCACTCAAAATTTGTAAGTATAAATAGTTATTTTTAATTTCGTTTTAGTTAAATTAGTATATTGTTTGAATCTTTAAATTTTGTTTCAATTTAGGCAGATGAATTATTACAGTATTAAATAGATGTATAAATTTTTTTAGCAAAAACAAAGAAAAAAATTCATCTGTATGCATATTATTTAAAAAAAATTCATAGTTGTTTGTAAAATAAATTATTAAACATTATTTGCATGAAAAAAAAAAGATCGGGCCATATTTTCCCCGCCGGCCTTTTTTGAAAAATAATGTTCAAGTATTTATTTGTTCATATTTCATGAATTATGTTAATTGTTTATATGTATATTGTTTTTTGAAATAAATATTAATGAATATTTAATATTAATTGAAATAAATAATAATGAAACAATTAAAATAATCGATGAATTGTTTTACGTAAAAAATTAAATTAAATATGAAATGAATAATTTTAAAAATTATATATTAATTCTTTATGTTTAATCTATTTTCTAATATTTTTAATTTGTGATAGATATGACATCAATATGTGTCCCAATTTGTTACTTCGATAAGTTTCAAAAGAATGAAAATCCTTTGTGGGAATAGAAATGGATGAGTGAAGGAGATGTAGTTAAAGCAATTTTTATAACATGGAGTACATTGTTTATAGAAATGTATCATGATATGCAAAACATGCTTAACGTCGATCTCTCTCAGTACGATATGGAATTAGGATTTTTATTTCATAAGCATTCAATCATTCCGATTTCACCTATTAAAGTTACTTCTGAAGTAGAGATGAGTCATCTAATTAAACTGAACCAAGGCTGAAAGTCGACTCTTATTTGCGTAACTTTATTGAGGAAGAATGTCCCCAGGTGACACGAAGTTTTCGATGAAGAGAATCGTAATATAAATGATGTTTATGATACAATTCATATTGTTCATGAAGATGATGTGGTTATTTCTGAGACAATTGCGCTACTCACCATGATCACAATGTTATGCACAGAATTTCCTCAACAGTTGAAGACAACGAGAATGAAAACGTATTTACAAACGAGGATTTGATTACTTTATCCCGTAGGAGATATAAGTCAGGTGGGAACTCACAGGCCGGATCGAGTACTTGGTCATCTAAGTGTTCGCGTGTGGTTCCTGACTATGAAGATGTATATATCGAGCAACTATTTGAAGTAAAGAAAGAATTGCAAAAATATGTACACCGAATTGTTTTGAAGCATAACTTCGAGTTTAAAGTAAAGAAATCTAACAAGTTTATGTACACAATTATCAGTATCGTGCACATATATTGTGGAGTCGGCGAATACGATTTTCACTGGAATATAGTGATGGTTCACACACATTGGCATGTACAAATGCGTACAGTCCTCTCATGACTTTCCTCTGACACTCAATCACATCTCTACGACCCACTCCATCATATATGCTGACACTGTGTACTCATTACATATAAATTGGAGCGACTGATACTCAATGTCAACAGCATGGATGGACTCAATGTTTAATATGAGTTTGTCAGGAATGTTGAACGATTTTGGATGTCTTTCAGCTCGATCTCGTAGCAAATTCATGGTAAAGTTGATGTACTACATTAAAAAACACTAATAAAAAAATGAGTTATTCCATGAATTTGATTCAAAAATCAAAATTGAACATATATAATAAATAATAATATTTTAATTTTACTAATGTTTAAATATTTATTTAAATTCTTTATGTATATTACATTTTTAATATTTAATTATTTATTTTAATTATTTTACTAATACTTAATTTAATTGTTTATTTTCTATTTATGTTTAAATACTTATTTTAATTCTTCATATATATTACTTATTTAATATTTAATTATTTATTTTAATTATTTTACTAATACTTAATTTAATTGTTTATTTTCTATTTATGTTTAAATACTTATTTTAATTCTTCATATATATTACTTATTTAATATTTAATTATTTATTTTAATTATTTTACTAATACTTAATTTAATTGTTTATTTTCTATTTATGTTTAAATACTTATTTTAATTCTTCATATATATTACTTATTTAATATTTAATTATTTATTTTAATTATTTTACTAATACTTAATTTAATTGTTTATTTTCTATTTATGTTTAAATACTTATTTTAATTCTTCATATATATTACTTATTTAATATTTAATTATTTATTTTAATTATTTTACTAATACTTAATTTAATTGTTTATTTTCTATTTATGTTTAAATACTTATTTTAATTCTTCATATATATTACTTATTTAATATTTAATTATTTATTTTAATTATTTTACTAATACTTAATTTAATTGTTTATTTTCTATTTATGTTTAAATACTTATTTTAATTCTTCATATATATTACTTATTTAATATTTAATTATTTATTTTAATTATTTTACTAATACTTAATTTAATTGTTTATTTTCTATTTATGTTTAAATACTTATTTTAATTCTTCATATATATTACTTATTTAATATTTAATTATTTATTTTAATTATTTTACTAATACTTAATTTAATTGTTTATTTTCTATTTATGTTTAAATACTTATTTTAATTCTTCATATATATTACTTATTTAATATTTAATTATTTATTTTAATTATTTTACTAATACTTAATTTAATTGTTTATTTTCTATTTATGTTTAAATACTTATTTTAATTCTTCATATATATTACTTATTTAATATTTAATTATTTATTTTAATTATTTTACTAATACTTAATTTAATTGTTTATTTTCTATTTATGTTTAAATACTTATTTTAATTCTTCATATATATTACTTATTTAATATTTAATTATTTATTTTAATTATTTTACTAATACTTAATTTAATTGTTTATTTTCTATTTATGTTTAAATACTTATTTTAATTCTTCATATATATTACTTATTTAATATTTAATTATTTATTTTAATTATTTTACTAATACTTAATTTAATTGTTTATTTTCTATTTATGTTTAAATACTTATTTTAATTCTTCATATATATTACTTATTTAATATTTAATTATTTATTTTAATTATTTTACTAATACTTAATTTAATTGTTTATTTTCTATTTATGTTTAAATACTTATTTTAATTCTTCATATATATTACTTATTTAATATTTAATTATTTATTTTAATTATTTTACTAATACTTAATTTAATTGTTTATTTTCTATTTATGTTTAAATACTTATTTTAATTCTTCATATATATTACTTATTTAATATTTAATTATTTATTTTAATTATTTTACTAATACTTAATTTAATTGTTTATTTTCTATTTATGTTTAAATACTTATTTTAATTCTTCATATATATTACTTATTTAATATTTAATTATTTATTTTAATTATTTTACTAATACTTAATTTAATTGTTTATTTTCTATTTATGTTTAAATACTTATTTTAATTCTTCATATATATTACTTATTTAATATTTAATTATTTATTTTAATTATTTTACTAATACTTAATTTAATTGTTTATTTTCTATTTATGTTTAAATACTTATTTTAATTCTTCATATATATTACTTATTTAATATTTAATTATTTATTTTAATTATTTTACTAATACTTAATTTAATTGTTTATTTTCTATTTATGTTTAAATACTTATTTTAATTCTTCATATATATTACTTATTTAATATTTAATTATTTATTTTAATTATTTTACTAACACTTATTTTGATAGTTTATTTTAGTATTTTAATTACTTATTTTAATTATTTTACTAATACTTAATTTAATTGTTTATTTTATGATCAAATACTTATTTTCATTGTTGTTGTATATTACTTATAATATTTCATTATTTATTTTAATTGTTTTACTATTATTTAACATAAAATAAGTAATT